CGGGAGGTGGAGACTGCAGTGAGCTGAGATCTCACCGCTGCACTCCAGTCTGGGCAACAGAGCAAGGCTCTATCTCAAATAAAAAATAATAATAATGATAATAATAATAAAAGAAGCAGATACAGGAGGGGTCTTCTGCCCTCCGTCTATTTGCCTAAAAGAACATAAATTTACAAAGACAAAAGTTATCCTGCTTCTACCTCCCTCCTCTGCCTCCTACCACCAGGAAGAACAGAGGTTAACCACTGAAGACAACTTTGGACTCTTATTGGCCTGGAAATGGTACTGGAGGAATCGACATTAACAAGCTTTACAAATTAGCCTTTATCTGCCATTCATTTGCCTTCCCCCAAGCAGCCACCCATTAGAGACTCAAAAGTCCTTAAAGGTCTTTTCCTTTGTCTTACACTTTTTAAAAAATTTACTGTTCTTTGTTGAAGATGCTATATAAGTTGGAATTCTAAGCCACCTTTTTGAGAACCGCTCATTCTCTGGGTGTCTGTCATGTATATATGAAATATACATGTTAATAAACTTCTGTTTGCTTTTTTTTCTTGTTAATCTGCCTTTTGTAACAGGGGTCCAGTCCATCTGAGAACTTATTGGAGTTATTGTCCTACATGACAAAGAACTCATGAGAATAAGTGTTTCAAGAAGGGGATGACAAATGCTGCTGAGAGGTTTGATGAGGACTAAAATGTGACCATTGATTGTGGAAGTAATATAATGAACTTGACATGAGTTATGTTAGAAAATTACTGCTCAGGGACACCAAATTAGAGGAGACAGAGAAGTAATAGGAAATTGAAATAGGAGATGTAGTCAACCCTAAACTGTAATTGAACATAAACAGTTTATTTGATGGAGCTTTTCACATGTCAACCAAAAGAGCAGTGTCAGATACATAAACATTGCTATGATGTCAGAGTTCCAATGTTATGGCCACTGGGATCACTTTGCCCACACAGACCATTACCCTTCCTCTCTAGCTCTGACTTCTACTCTTCTAGAAGTCACTGGTATACTTTATGGTGTGTCTTCCAATCAGACTCTTGGGAATGTCTTCTATTGAAAACTCCTGTGGATGCATAATTGTTTTCCCAAGACTCAGGGCAGATTTCACCTCCTCTGGAACCCCATCAACTTTCTCAAGTATACTTAACAATTTCTTCTTCTGGAGTCCCACAATACTTTACATACACCTTAGTTATTGCATGTATTAAGTTGGTTTCTAGTTCCCAAAATAAGTTATTGCATGTATTAAGTTGGTTTCTAGTGTCCCAAAATAAGAAGGATTGTTAAGCTGAAGGCAAGTTAAAAGAAGCAGATACAGGCTGGGTGCAGTGGGCTCACGCCTGTAATCCCAACTAGACTGTGAGCACATTGAGGGAAGGAACTTGGCTTGGAAAGTAAAATTGGCTCCCAATGTTTTATCTAAACACGTAGGCTCAATTTACAACAGGATTCCATCTTCTTATGTTGTGTATTCCCATCTCTCCTCTCCTCCATCCCACCATCCTTCAAGGTTATTACAATAAAATTCGGATCAAATAATTGATTCAACTAATTTTTCTTGTTTTGGACAAAATAGACATCCTAATACAGTTTAATCCTAATTACAGTTTAATAGCCAAAGTTTAATCTAGACACTAAAAGGAGCATATTTTACCTTTAGCCTGTATCTTTCCCGTCTCATTCCCAGTCAAGATAATCACAAATGTATTCTTTAGGAAATTCTTCACAAAGAACCAAACATGTGTTCCTATAAAACAGATTCTTGGTATCCTAGTGAAAAAACCTGCCCTCTTGCTTGTCTGTAAATACTGGCCTTGTCTGGGTGTGGTAGCTCATGTCTATAATTCCAACACTTTGGGAGGCCAAGGTGGGAGGATCTCTTGAGCTCCAAGAAGTTTGAGATCAGCCTGGGTAACACAGTGAGATCTCATTTCTACAAAAAAATTTTTTAAACAGTTAGCCTGGCATGGTAGCTTGTGCCTGTAGTTCCAGCTACTTGGGAGGCTAAGATGGGAGAATTGATTGAGCACAGGAGGTCGAGGCTGCAGTGACTGCATTTCAGCCTGGGTGACAGAGGGAAATCCTGTCTCAAAAAAAATTAAACAAATAAATAAATAAGTAAACACTTGCCTTGCCCTCAGATTTGAAGAAATAACTCATGATTTTTTTGGGAGGCTCAACCTGCCTATGCAGTACTACTGTACTCTACCAGCAGTGTACCGTCAAGAGCCCGTCAATGATTTGTAATGTTTTGTCTTTCAGAACCAGAGGCAGGAGAAGTGTCCCCTCCAGTTGGTGCGGGTGTCAACAGCAACAGCTGGACCTTTAAATACGGACCAGGCAACCCCAAACAATCCGGTCCCGGTGAGTTGCCAGACAAATTCATTATCCCAGGATCTCCTGCAATCATCTCCATCCGGCAGGAGCCTACTAACAACCAAATTGACAAAAGTGACTTCATAACCTTCGGCAAAAAGGAGGAGACCAAGAAAAAGAAGAAAAAGAAGAAGGGTAACAAGACCCAGGAGAAAAAAGAGAAAGGGAACAGCACGACTGACAACAGTGACCAGTGAGGTCCTCAAATGGAAACAAGCCACTTAGCCAGTTTTTGTAATAATGGCAAATCTCTCCCATGTAGCAACTCCCTGCTCCTTTTTCCTATCTGTGTGAGCCCTCTTAGAGACCTCAGAAATCTGCAGAAAGTTCCCTGTGTCTGTCTAGAACGCATTTAACAGGTTTTGTCGTAAAAGCTTTACTAAGTCTGGTGTTAACTCTTTCTCTCCACTCTGGCTTGTTTTCAGAACCTAAAAAGCAGACCCAAGTTTCCTTTCTCCTCCGCCGCAAAGGAGAGGCTTCCCAGCCCCGCCAGTGAGAGGTTGGACTCTCTGCCCTGTGCTCCGGGGATCCTGTCTTGATGACACTTGCAGGGCAGGCTGAAAAGTTTTGAGATTGAGCAGCTTGGGTGTTTGTGGCCACTGGGTATGTGTGGCCACCGCAGGTATGCGAGTGCCAGACATTGGCTGAGACGGGCCAGCTTAGACTAATTGGTACAAGGAAGGCAAGAGAACAAAGACAAATAAACAGCGGAAGTTATCAGTGTGGAGGGGAAGTGTAAACTAAAAGGGACCAGACTTTCTAAATCTTACAACTCAAGAGGTGGTGGCCACCCTCTAGGAGACAAAACTACCCCCACTGACAAGGCTTTAGGAGACCCTAAAGTCCATTGGCTGTGATGTCATTATCCTAAAATCTGCATCTTACCTGCGAGTCAACAGTTCAGTGTTTTAACAGAGAACCACCCTGGGAAACAGAAGCAGATCTGATGTGTTTCCTATACATGTCCTGTGCTCACTTTATTAAAAATTCTTTTGCACACAATGTTTATGAAAAGGTCAGATCCTTTTCCAATACTTATGCAAAAGCAAAAGAAAACCCCAACACCTCACCTTTCGCTGTTTGTTGTTTCATAGATTTATTTAAAAAAAGAGAAAGTCTATAGCTATAAATCTTTAAAGAGAAATATGAATACAGTTCCCCTAAACTTTCCTCAAAAGAGAATTGAGTCTACAGCCATTTAAATGATCATTGCTGCTACAGAAGTGCTTTAAGAGAATTGCCTGAAACATCTGTATTATATCGGCCACCTGCCAATCACAGCTTTACTCTTTCAGGTCACTCTGGGGCTGCCTCTTGCATGTATTACTAAATAAAATGATCTCTCTCTCTCTCTCTCTCTCTCTCTTTTCTAAGAAACAATTATGTGCACTTTGATACACAACCTTCTCTAACCAACTATATCAAGACCCAAAAATTGAAGAAAAATATTGTTTTCTCATACAGTGAGCAGATTTTTCAGTCTTCTAATTCTGACTTGTCTTGGTGTGCTAGCCTACACCTTCTCTTTGGTTTAGTTTTCCTTTTCTATAACACTCTGAATTGCTAATCTTACTAACACCTATGATGTTACCTGAAATCAATCTCCCATATGTATGCTGTATGCTATGATAAGACTCCTGAAATATACTTACTCTGTGCTTGTGTATGTGAATGTTAATGCAACTATTACCTAGAGTGAACTTTAAGCTTTATTGTTGAATGTAATTCCATTATATTTCCTTTTGTACACCTGTGAAAAAGTGGAGTAGTGTTTTTTTAACCATTGTTAATCAGCTTTTGTGTATGAAAGACACAGTAAAAATTTCTTTCTTAAATCAAGATACTGGTGATTCAAGGAATTTTATTTATGGTCCAACCAAGAGCCATCTCTTGCCAAGACTTCTGCTGGCAAGGGAATGGATAAAGCTGTTTTGTTCTAGTAACAATTTTGGAATGAATACTGACAATATTCCATGAGGGTGTGCAAGCACAAATTTTACCAATCTGACCTCTTTGAAGTTGCAGAATGCTTTGAAATTCTAATGGTATCTGAAGTATCAGCTCATAGAAAGTAATAAAATTTGCTGTCACCTTAAATAAGACATTTTAATTTTGTTATAATGTACAATTTAGAAGTTTGATTAATTATATTATCTATTTAGGCATTAATATAAAAGAAGTAGGAGTCTGTTATTTAAAAAAAAAAGCATTAAATTAAAAAAAAAACTGTCTTGTCTACTTTTAGCTTCATTCTCCCATATTTTGAAGGGTGTGTAACTTCAGCTCTGCAGGATTGCATGGGGTAAAACTTGTTGCCAACACATGTGAACCATTGCCACATTGTAGGTTGTGATCATTTTGCCCCACTGAAGCCCATGTATCTGACCTTACGTGCCTTTTGAACTAGGAGAATCGGGCTAATTTGTTAATGATGATAATTATAATGTATCTGTACAGCACTTTTTACATTTGCGAAGTGCTTTCCAATCCATGTTAGTTACTAGTTATTACAGCTGTAAGGATAAAACACGTCATGTGGATTCATTTTGAATTGGTGCTATTGGTATTTCCTCTGTTATTGCTAATAAATGAAAATGGTGGTATGAAAGAAATGGTGGTCATTTCTAAGTATAAGAGTAGGAGGAAATAGAACACTGATAGGCAATTAATACTAAGAAGATTGCTGCAGTATGAAACTCACTGTAACACTCTCTATCACGTTAGCTTTTATGTCGATTACTAAGGCAAAAGCCCCAATGGAATCAAGATTCGAACTTTACATAATTAGAATGGGCAGCAAGGAGGTTGCTGTGTTACTTTGTAGTTACACTGTTTTAGTCTTCTCTAATAAGAATTGCGACAAACCAACTTTTTTTTCTCTTTTTCTTTTTTTTTTTAGACAGAGTCTCGCTCTGTCGCGCAGGCTGGAGTGCAGTGGCGCTGTCTCAGCTCACCACAAGCTCTGCCTTCCGGGTTCACGCCATTCTCCTGCCTCAGCCTCCCGAGTAGCTGAGTAGCTGACTATAGGCGCCCGCCACCACGCCCGGATAATTTTTTTGTATTTTTAGTAGAGACGGGGTTCCACCGTGTTAACCAGGATGGTCTCGATCTCCTGACCTCGTGATCCGCCCACCTCAGCCTCCCAAAGTACGGGGATTACAGGCGTGAGCCACTGCGCCCAGCCACAACAAACCAATTTTTATCACTAGAGCCCTTCTAGTCATCTTTTTCATTACTTGTTTAGCCCCTGCACCTCTCTACAATTGGGAAGCCAAGTGACACCCCAAAGAAATGGACTTTTAGGTCAGGGATAGTGGTTCGTGCTTGTAATCTCAGAACTTTGGAAGGCCAAGGCCAGAGGATGGCTTGAGGCCAGGAGTTCAAGATCAGCCTGGGCACATAGCGAGATCCCATTTCTACAAAAATAAATAACTTTATTGAGTACAGGGTATATGCCAGCCACTCTACTGCATAGGTTCAGTTGTAACAAATAGATTGTTTTGTCCTTTTGTAGTAAAATTTGTATAAATATAAGCTTTAGATGCAGTAGGTTCTCAGGAGCAATTTTGCCCTCCTGGGAACATTTGGAAATGTCTGAAGGTATTGTTGCTTTTCATTACTTGAAGTGGAGGGTGGTACTGGCATCTACTGGATGGAGGGCAGTGATGCTGTGAAACACCTGGCAATGCACAGGACAGCCCCTACAACAAAGAATCTTACAGCCCAACATGTCAATAGTACCAAGATTAAGAAACCTTGAGATAGAGTGACCATATAATTTGTGTAGTCCGCTTTTGAAATGGAACAGGAGATACCATTCATTATTACTTCAGGATTCAAGATGTAAACTGGGACTGTTCCAGGCTAACTGGGATTTATAGGGACTCTATAAATAAGCTGTGCCACTAACTAGATGGGGAATTTGGGGCAAACCACTACTGCTCTCAGTTTTTCAGTCATCTCTAAAATGGTAATAATTATAATACAGACCTTATAGATTTGTGAGGTGATCTTGAAAAGTTTTTAGCAGGTCTGGCCACACCACAGTACTCGATAAATATTATTATTATTAATCCTTTTCTTCCATTTCCTCACCCGCTTTTCAGAGATTTAGCTATTAGATTCAGGTAGCTTTTTCTACTACTAAAATGTGAATGAGGGATGGCAAAGTAAATCAACATAGACTTGGCAATAAAAATATTTTATTTACTCCTCCAGTCTTTTGCTCACCCCAGGAGGAAAAGAAGTAAGTTTCATAACTCCTTACCTATTTCTATCATAATAATAATCAAGTCCTTAAGTAGTCAAGTGGCCAGTCTGTTTGCAGCTATTTCACCTCAATTATCAGTGATCTGAAAGCCAGAAACCGAAGGGTTTGAAGTACAACAGCTTGAGAGAAAAAGAGGAGTCACCTCCAACAAGTTCTTTCAGCAGATGGGCAAAACAGAAATGCCAAATTACCCACAGACACGCCTGGGATTTCACAGGCAATAAAGGACAAGACAGGTGCATCTTTCTCAAGGGCCAGGCTACGTGATGTAAGTCTCACATATACAGAGTACAAGATTCACTCTTTAGAAATATTGCAATTGATCTAATTTTAAAGGATGAGATTCTCCAATAAGTGTCTAGAGCCTTGGCTGTTGAATTTTAGGCTCCTAGGTAAGATTATAAGTGTCAGGATCTCATGTTAGTGTATTTTATGTTTAAATTATAAACATTACATTTAAGTTATAAACCCCAATCTAAAGTACAAATGTAACTGACCAAACACTAATGCAATTTTACTGTTAAATCTAGATTTTAAAACCATGCAAACATTAAGAGATACAAAAAAACAAGTAAACAAAACTACAGATACACTTCCTCAAGACTTTCAGTCCCTGGAGCTTTTCCAGGAAATGGAAATGGAAATGGAAAGTTGGCCACTCTTTGACTCAAATTCATCATATTTTCATGTGCTTTCTCTCCTTGTGGGAAAAGCTGATTACGTTATTTTCCCCCAAATTACCTTGACTGTTGGCTGGCAGGACACAGCTTGCAACCTGAGAAATTTCTTCTGGCTTTATACACACACACATGCACACACACGCACACACACATGTGCACACATATACACACGCATGCACATGCACACACGCGCACACACACGCACATGCACATGCACATAGGTTCCTCTTGTAACTAGGAGGGGGCTTTAGCGAATGAGCATGGTGCTGTCCTCCCTTTGAAATTGTGCCTAAGAGTGGTGCATAGCGGCCTTTTTGTTCTAATCAGTCAGGTAAAATGTTTGCTGGGTCCCATTTTCTCTTGGGGTTGATCCATGGGGAAATGCCTGCTGACGTATGAAATCTTAAAAGTTTTTTGCCTAATGAAGTCTATCACCTTGTCTTTGAACTTAAGCTCCTCTGAGCTGGACACTAGTGCATTTACTTTCATAATATGGAGTATACTTTGCATAAAGAAATAAGAAAGAGTAGGTAGTGGAAAACATAAAGTCCAGCATTTTGTTAGGTTACACAATTGTCAGGTGACTTGGGGATCATCAATCCACAAAGAACATGAGCAAGTCAGACAACCACTCAGCCAGTAGCTGGTCTTAGAGCAGAGCGAAAACAATTGGCACCCGATGCATAAACATATGGGGGACTGACACAACAGTTCTCATTTTAGGGTTTGCTTTCACTAGACTTACTTTATTTAGTTTTATGTGACATTGAATTTTTATTATAAAAGGTAATATGTATTCTTTTAAGTAAATCAAATAAACCAGAGATATGTAAAGAAAAATTATTAATCTCCTCACCATCTTCTTTCAATTCTCTCTTACTCAGGTATCCAATTTTAACTATTTCAAATGTGTTTCTCTGCATTTTTCTCTATACACACACATTTATATCACATACACATAGGTTTAAAAATAGTTGTTTACCTTTTTTTCTTTGAGACAGGATCTCGCTGTGTTGCCTAGGCTAGAGTACAGTGTCAAGATCTCAGCTCACTGCAACCTCTGCCTCCTGGGTTCAAGCAATTCTCCTGCCTCAGCCTCCCAAGTAGCTGGGACTACAGGCATGTGCCACCAGGCCCAGATAATTTTTTTGTATTCTTAGTAGAGACAGGGTTTCACCATGTTGGCCAGGCTGGTCTCTAACTCCTGAACTCAGGTGATCTGCCTGCCTTGGCCTCCCAAAGTGCCAGGATTACAGGCATAAGCCACCATGCCCAGCCTGTTTTCTTTTTTATATAAAAACAAAATGATGCCATGCTTGTTGCCCTGTAGATTTTTTTTTTTAATTTACAATAATGTGAAGATTTTTTTCAGTTCAACTCTACATCACTCTTTTTAATTCCTGTATAAATTCCACATAATGCCAGATCGTAATGTCATAATGCATTTAATTTTTCCAGATTTTTGCTACTCAAAACCAAAAATAACACGTTTGCAATGATAAATTTAGTACCTGAGCTTTATAAAACGTGGTCTAGGTGTATTACAAAAAGGACGTTTGGAAGACTATTATGAACTTTATGTGACTCCTTCCACAATAATCACATTCCTTTACTGGAACTCACTCATTTCTAGTATTCAATGATGAATTGTGGCTCTGTTTGTAGATGAATGGTGAAAAACAGAGACAGACATTCACAAGAAAAACAGAAAAATGTTAGAAAGATATGCTTTCATTTACTTATCCAGAATAATTTCATGGGAGCTTCATTTCATCCAAAGACTTCTCCATTCAATCACAGATTGAAAGGTATGCATGAAAGAGGAAGTCTCAAGACAATTCAAATACTTGCTTAGACCTGTGATATTTTAACATAACCTGGTTGAACATTGGGTAGAAAGCAATCTAACTTTTTTTCTAGGTTATTACATGTTACCTGAGGGTAGACATATTCACTTTGTACCAGTGGAGCTTATTTCATTTTAAGAAAAACAAATTGCTTGTCAAGTAATGAATCCAAGACAGCCAAAAATCAAGGCAGCCATTCATGTATTTGAAAAATCTCAGTTAAAAAACCATCTGGCTATAAACTTCAGGAAATCTTCCTTATTAAATTATTGATACTATTTTATCCCTTAAATCAGCCTTTCAAGACATAAGTCCATTCTGGGTTCAGTGGCTCATGCCTGTAATCACAACACTTTCGGAGGCTGAGGCAGGAGGATCGCTTGAGCCCAAGAGTTTGAGATTACAGTGAGCTATAATCAGTCACATCACTGTACTCCAGCCTCGGTCACAGAGCAATACACTGTCTCAAAGACAAAAAAGAAAGAAAGAAAAAAGAAAGAACTGCATTCCTAAATCAGGTTTATTCCATTCTCTGTGGTTAATAGAATTCATCAGCCAGACATAGCACACATTTCTTCCCAAATGCTGTAGCTTTCCAGATCACTTTCCTCTTGGTTTTCCTCAAGCCTATGATCAATTTTTCAGAAATCTTGGAGTCTGGAAGTCCCATTCTTCCTTGCACACTTCTCACAGTGGTATACTAGCTTAGAGCCCAACCAGACATCTGGTAAGTCAGTGCTAGGACATAGGTGGGTGGTCCATATATTTGGGATCAGTAGCAGTGCTAGATCTTTCCTGGAGATGCTTATAG